GTCGCGCCTGCGCACTGGGGCCTGCGCGCTGCAGGGAATGAATTGCGGAGCCGCTCCGCCGGTTTGGCTCGGGCGGGGTCCCTGGCGTGAAGGTGAAGGTGGAAGTCGCTGTTGATGTACCAGCTTGGGAGCCACACACCCGGGTACATTGTTTGGAATCGTTAAAGAGGGCGCCTCCAGTGGGAAATTTCTGCGAGTTCTGAAGCGGTGACGTCCCAGGGACAGTTGCTGAGCGAGGTAGAGGCAGTTTAAGGAGCAGGTGGCAAGCATTTATTTTACCCATATAGTCATTGAAGGTTGCATGTCAGTAATGCAGACTACACATGTGAAATTATCTTTCAGTGTTTAGATAGTGTTAACGTAAAAGACATTCAAGCCTATAAAGAATTTTTGTGAGTTTATTTCAGCCATACAGTTGCCGGGAAGCGGAATCTCAATGTGTTGGGAGAATGCTCTGGAGTCTGGCAGTTTTTCACCTTGTTTCAGATATTACAACCAAAAGAGGAGACTTAAGAGGGTTACATGAAATCCATTGGTGATAGATTAGGGAGACCTGTAGCCTGATAATGGAGTCGGGGAAGCCTCTGGGATTGGATGAAAAGTAAAATGATAGACACATACTTCTTAGGTGGGTACAGGATAGTTAATAGTCAACAACTAATATGATAACAATAACAATGAAGGAATTTATGGCACCCATCCTGGCGCCCAGGGCATCCGGTTGTGCCCTGAGGGGTCTGGAAAAAGGGAAGTTACAACTTACCCAGACATTTCAGTATATTATCGTACATGCAAAAAGACAGTAGGCTCAGTTAAGGTAAAGATTGACTATCCACCATAACTACTTTTAAAGTTTTAGAGGGAAGGTAGGGGAGGGTGGGGGCAAGAGGGAGAGATCAGCCAAAGGACTTGTATGCATGCATATAAGCATGACCAAAGGACACAGACACCAGGGGGGTGAGGGCATGAGTGGGGGTGGGGGTGGGGAGGCAATGGGGGCATAAAGACACATATTTAATACCTTAATCAATAAAGAAAAAATAATAAAAAATAAAGGGTAATGGGGGAATAAGTACACATATGTAATACCTTAATCAATAAAGAAAAAATATGCCACTAAAAAGGCTTTGATGACAAATACAAAATAAAGGTCTTCAAATGTTAAAAAAAAGATCCATGAAGAAACCCCAAAACAATCTTAAAGAATGAAAACATAACCTTCAGAAATGTCTTCACTGCATATCTGCTTCTATACTTACTGTTCATGAACTGTTGCTATGAATAAGGGTGGAATTCATGTAATATAACTGCTCAATGTGTCAACTATTGTTTGCTAGGTGATAATTCTTTTACCACTTCTCTGTATTTGCACTATTTGTGAAAACATCATTCACTTAGATATTAGACCTTTATTTGTATGGAACCCTTCATTTGCATGTTAGAACTTGTTGCTAGGATTCTTTTATCATTGACCTGTAACAAAGTAGTACATGTCTCAAAAAAAAAAATATATAGAAAAGACAAAAAAATAAATAAAATAAAGTTTTAATTTCAGATCATCCTTTGTGGTTACTTTAGGTCTTTGAGTTTGCAAGACTGCCATTCAGGCCTTCCCTGAACTTGTCAGGTTAGCACATGGCCCATTTTTTGTCCACAATATAAAGTAATTGAAATGATGTTTAACCTAATAATGGAGAAAATAAAATGGAGTAAGCATTGCTAAGAGAGTCACTTAAAATGTAGTTGGGAGGCTTTTAGGGAAGAGGGGCCTATGCAGATCTTGCCCTCAGTTCCCTTAGCTGCTATTAACTTGCTAAACTCAGCTCAAGGCTGAGCCATAAACATAACATCCTGGAACAACCGTTGTATAGACACATGAATTTAAAAAACAAAATTCAGCCCTAGCTGGTTTGGCTCAGTGGCTAGCACATTAGCCTTCGGACTGAAGGGTCCCAGGTTCAATTCCAGCCAAGAGCACATGCCCAGATTGCGGGCTTGATCTCCAGCAGGGTGCATGCAGGAGACAGCCAGTCAATGATTCTCTCTCATCGTTGATGTCTCTCTGAAATCAATAAAAAATATATTTTTAAAAAACAAAAACAAAATTCAGCCCTGCCAGTGTGGCTCAGTGCTCAACCATGAACCATGACCCATGAACCAGGAGGTCAGAGCTCAATTCTCAGTCAGGGAACATGCTGGGGATACTGCCTCTATCCCCAGTACAGGGTGTGCAGGAGGCAGCTGATCATGACTCTCTGTGATCATTGATGTTTCTATCTGTTTCTCCCTTTCCCTCCCTCTCTTTGAAATCAATGAAATATTTTTAAAAATTCAATGTAGTAAATGTGAAGATCTGATACTGTTGCAATTAACCTAGTTACTAATAATAGGAAAGGAACAAAGGGAATATAGAGGCATACCCAGTAAAGTTGGGGTGACCTTGGAAAAGTACTTGGCTGTCAGTCACACCTGGGAACAGGTCATTGGCCAGAATGGGCGTGGCCACTGCAAGGGCAAGAAATTTGGGATATTTAATCCTGGGATTCTTGTTGCAGGGGGCGGCGCACTCTCTTGGTTTCTCTGCATTTGGCACATGGCCCACCACCATACAGTGGATTAATGGACTCAACTAGCCTGATGCTGAACTGGAACCCCCTGCAATATGGACTGGAAACTCTGGACACTGGCTTTGTTTCTAGCTCTACTGAAACCCCAGCTACACTTCTAAAGCTGGACTGAGGGAAATGGGCCTTTGGAAACCCAGGGATGTAATTCCATGCAAATATAAATCACTCATCCTCTCATGAAAATCTCAGAAAATTTGTTTTGTCCATATATCATAAAGACTCCAGCCCAGCACTCAACAGGAAAAAGGACACCAATTTCCCTGAGAACAGATTTACTTGATTTTATTAAAACAGTTTATGAGTCTGGCAGCATTCCATCTAGCATCTAGAAGGGAGGGCCCAAGAGTTGTACAAAATGGAAGGATTTTATAGGAAGAAGGGTAGGGCAAGGGAGCTATTAGGGAAAGAAAATAAAGAATTGCTTAGGGGAGCCGCTGATGTAGACAGTTCACTGTCTGCAGTGAGAGTCACCCCTCCCTGGCAGCGCAAACGCAGTTGTGGGCCGCGTGTGAACTGTTCCAAGGAAACTTCACCGAGGGACAGTGAAACTGGAATTTTGCTCCATTTTCACAAATACAAAATATCTCTCCCTGCTTCACCCCACAAGCAACTAAATTGAAAAACCATTCTTAGCTCACAGGACATAACAGTGGGGCTGGATTTGGTCCACAGGTCCAAATAAACTTTTAAATTGTTTTATAACCTCAGATGTGTATTGGTGGACAGTATTATTATGGCATTAATTTTGACCTCATGGAGTCCCTGGCAGGGTCTGGGAAATGCCAGTGGTCCCTGGACTACTCTTGAGAACTGCTGGGGTAGTGGGAAGTCTATTGAATGTAGAAGACCTTAATTAGTTTTTATCAGGGCTTTGCTACCTGTTATTGAATAATATGGTGCTAAATATAATATTATTCACCTCATCACCCTCATCTGTAATAGGAGAAAGTTTAGATGGTCTTGAAGTTCCCTTCTAGTTTAAACCTGTCTACAGTATTTACTATGCTAGGAGCATTTTACATTTTTTTTTTCACTTTATCCTTACATGTAAATGGTATCCTTATTGATATGAAGGAACTGAAGTTCAGAGATGACTTTTTTTTTTTATGTTCCCCTTTATAACATAAGTAGGCTTATGAGACTAGAGTTCTAGACTTAACTAACATGGCTCAGCACTCACATTTCAATACTTTACTTTGAAACTTCCAAGTTATGGAAATTACTGACATCAGATTGGGGACAGTGATATTCCTATCAAGAAATCTTTGTATGTAATTCTGATACATATGGAGAAATTCAGAATGCCCAGCAATGGGAGTTCGTTGTGTATGTGTAAGCCTATTTACAAGATTCAGATTCATATACTAGTAGTTGTTTGGTTTTAACTTTTAAGTACACTCCAGAGCTGTTTGAGTATTTGGTTTTCATCCTATATAATAAAGAGGGAATATGCAAATTGACTGTCACTCCACCACAAAGATGGCTGCACCCACAGCTGAGGCCGAGTTCCCATAACGAGCCTTAAGGAGCAATCAGCAGGGACCTGAGGCTGCGCACCCCCCCACCCCGTGGGGCTTGACAGGGGACCTCAGGCTGCGCCCCCACCCTGGCGCCAGGCCAGGGGACCTCAGACCGTGCCCCCCGCCCGGCAGGGATTGACGGGGGACCTCAGGTCGCGCCTATCACCCGGCGGGGCTTGACGGGGTTGGGGCCGGCTGGTCTGGGTCTCGGCGCAATTTCAAGGTGCACGCCTGTGGGAGGGGACTTGACTCTGGGTCCCGTGGTGTATCCCAGACTCTGACAGGAGGAAGATTTTCATATACATTTTACTAATTTTCTTTCATCTCTGACACTTCTATTATAGAGAAAGGGCAAATAGCAATATTAAAATATTTCCTCTAATTAATCCCCTTTTAATGTGCACAAATTTCAT